TAAAACGAGATGTAAGCATCAGTGAAAATTTATCAAATATCAAGGGCACAGAAATTTAAAAAGAATTGAAGATTTCAGAAAAAGGCCTGGAAAAATTACCAATTTTTTTATGTGAATAATGTTAATACAAAATATTTTATAAATGTATTCCACGAATGGGATTGAGGTTGCTAAATTCATATTCAATGGTTTACTGTTTTATGCACCTCTTTGAACAAATGTTTTCAAAACAATGGGACCGTCACGATGATATCCTTTTATGCAGGGGCGTAGCAACGGGGGGGGGGGGGGCGCCTGCCCCCCCCCCCCCCCCACTTTTTTCCCAACCTTACTTATACTATAGGAAATGTTAATTGAAAACCTGGTTGCTCCCCCCCCCCCACTATTAGTGATGTACCGAAAATGAAGTATTAGAATTGGTATTGAAAGTAGTTGACACTGAAAAAAGTTTTCTTTTTTTTTATAGTTTTTATTTCCCCCCCCCCCCCCCTCACGAAATAGGATTTTCGACTTTCAACATTTTCCTTCTTTTTTTTTGCTTGTCAACTTTTTCAGGTAAGTAAAATTTTTTTTCTCTTTGGCTGCCCCCCCCCCCCCACTTTCAAAAACGATGCTACGCCACTGTTATGAATAGTTCGATATCATGATTGAAAAAAAATAATTATGAATTTGAAGACAAAAACAGATCAGTTACTACAGAACAGTTATTTTACCTTTTTAACATGAATACCTTCTTTGTTTTTCTTTTAAGTGGGTGATGTCTGTACACTTCCGCCCGTCCAGGGGCCATGTCGTGCGAGCATGCGCCGCTTCTTCTTTAATCCCGCTCTCAGGGCAGTGTAGCCCTTCGAGTATGGCGGTTGCCGAGGCAACAGAAACAACTTCCAAACCTTCCAAGCCTGTCAGCAGAGGTGTGGGGGAGGTGGCGGAGGGGGAGGGGACGGGGGAGTGTTTCCACCAGGTAATACCAACAAACTGTTTTGACTATGATAAATCTTACAATCTATGTGCACGTTTGTATTAAAAAAGCATAACTAATAATGGCTAATAAACATACATAATACAAAACATAGAACTTGGGGATTCCTTTTGACAATGATTCCATTTTTTTCATGTTTGAACATTTGCATCATGCGCAATACATTTCAATACGTAGGGTGTACCAATGTGAATACATAAATCTTCATGCATGCGAAGTTTAAATTCCCTTTTGGTCGTAAATTTCAGGAAGTCCCTGCCTCTTGCAGCATGCGCAGTCAGGGAACTGTTTGGGATTCTTTCCTTCCTGGACGTATAACCCTAACACAGGGCGATGTCGAATTCGTCTACGGCGGATGTGGAGGGAACCGGAACCGCTTTAACACTTTAATGGAATGTCGCCGTGTGTGTGATAGAAATGACGGACCTGCCCCCGGTTAGTATCTTTATTCTTCAAGAAAGTGTAATCCATCATTTTTGACGACAACGTGATAAATGTCCTATGATGTAACGTAAGTGTTTTCGATGTATTTAACACCTTTTCCGAACATATATGTAACTAACTTCTGTTATACAAGCCGCTTCGATTATTTAGATGGAACCATGTCCTTTTAATATTTTTTTTTCGCGAACCTGATTCCACTTTAGTTGCCGATAGGGGACCAAAACACCGCTTTGCTTATCATAATCAAAATATTTTCAAATTTTCAGGAATGTGTGGTTTGCCTGGTGACTCTGGTCCATGTCGGGCCTTCATCCCTCGCTGGAGCTGGAGTATGGCTAGCGGTCAGTGTGAGCGATTTATCTACGGCGGCTGCGCAGGAAACGGAAATAACTTCATTACCCGGCAGCAGTGTGAGGACACATGTGGAAACGCCGGAGGCGGAGGAGGTAACCAGTTTTTTTTTTTTAATTGTGTCCAAATTCATTATTTTTTTTTTATTTTTCTTATTTGAAAAAAGGGGTTAATGCTTCTCAATCACCATAATTTGACTGGAGGCGAGGCTACCTTTCACAGATTACTTTAAAACATTTCTTATTTAAATTTCGAAATGAAGTCTATTTCTTTGATTATATTTATGAAAAATGCATAGAGATGAAAAAAGCTTGCACTTATTTAAGCAGTAGGTGTTTGTTATGAGAAAGTGTCAAATCGTTCGTTTTACCAATTTTATTTAGAGAGTTCCTATCTGAACACACTTACGTGTACATCCCTTAGCTTATTTGACCTCCTTCTTATCCCAGGAGTCTAATTTGTCCCAAAAATGTATTACTTTTAAAATGTTACAAATGCAAATAACACATACATGTACCATTATGCAGATAATGAGACTATCTTGCTGTTGTTAATTCCAGGAGCTGTAAGTCGTGTTTGTATTTTACCAGAAGTTACAGGACCTTGTCGAGCCAGCATTCCCAGGTGGCACTTTAACGCGGCAACGAGAAGGTGCGAGAGATTCATTTATGGCGGTTGCCAAGGAAACGAAAACAATTTTAATACCTGGGGGCAGTGTCAACGTGTTTGTGGTCAAAGGGCTGGCTAATTGGCGCTAATACAATCATGATTCATTAATAGTTTTGATTAATCGGATGGTTCATTTTTTAAAATTACATATTTTTTTTTTGCAGAAGTAGGTATTCATATAGTTTGGAATCAATTTCAAAATGGTTAAGTGGGTTGAATGAATCTTCCAGCATCATTGTTCATATTCAATAAAAAAGTCTTCATCAACTTCCGTGTTTGCACTTTTTTGTTTTTTGTTTTTTTTTTCTCTCAGCAGCTTTTCAAAAGACATGATGGTACATAATTTCTAGAATTATTTAACATTCAAATTCAAAGAAATACTTAGTGATTTTTACTGTCTAAGTAGGATAGAGTAAAGGAATATAAGGGTTTTGGGGGAATTAGTCACTACTACTGCATGTATTGAAAATAGCAGGGACAAGAACAAACTAGCTAAGTAATAGTTATTGTATATTTATTATGGTGTATCCTGAGTTATTTGGGCGAAGGGCGGTGACGAGTGTGAAGCACGAGTCTCCGCGCCTTTCGTCCAAATAAATCAGGATACACCATAATAAATATTACAATAACTTTCTTGTATCATGGCCAATCAAACGTCATATTATAAATAATATGCAGGATTGTTAATTACACCAATAGAAAATGTAGTTTTTGTCAGGTGACCGCATGGACCGCATGGATAATCTCTACCTCCTGCCAGTATTTTTAATAAACTCATTTTGCGTGTTGTGTTCGTGAGAAAGGACGTCGATTGCAGCATCCCGTCGTAATTTAAGCACGGATTTTATTTTAATGAATATCACAAGAAAACCTTTGGATATCAAACAGGAAAAAAATCAGTCTGTACAGTTAAGAAGGAAAACTCAGATGTTATTCGAAAATCCAGAAAAAAGTTACCCGTTGATCATTTGACATATTTGAGAGCTGTCGCGTTCACTAAAAGCCTGTGTCAGGGTCTTCATCTGTGGATGCAGTACATCTGCACTTATTCTCGTTGAGCAAAGAACAATGCAAAGATGTTGTTTTTTTTCTTTTGCTAAAGCGGTTTATTACAATAGGTGTGATATTTTAATATAATTCTGTGTGAAATTGGTGTCAAGAACTTGATTTCTCGTTGTGGAGGATTGAATATTTGCAGAGTTCCTTAAAAGCATCTAGTAGTTTGGGATACGCACTGTAATTTTATTTATGTAAAAGACTTTTATTTCACTTGCAGAAATTTAGCCTTTGTATTATAGCCCATTTCATTCTGTAATTCAGATTCAATATACATGTGATTTAAAATGATGAAATCGCGTAAGTGTTCAATAATTTATTTACACGGCACAGTTTTTGCTGGCTCCGCCCATCGGTGTATCTCCAGTTATTGTACACTTTACTTCAAAGGAAAAACACCGCAGCCATGATACAATCATATTTATAGATCTAAAGTACAGTGTCGGTCATTTTATCGAACTTGTATAATCAAAGAAGGTTAATATCTATATCGCAAATTCAAACAGCATAGGTACAGGTATATAAGAACGAATGTTTAATGAAAGAGAGATAAAGATGGAAAGAAGGATAGTATTTGGCTAGAGCAATAATGTGTGTGTGACCTACATGGCATTTTGAATTTGTAGGTCATGCCAATAAGAAACAACCAAAAAATTAATAATGATTATAGAAATGAAGGAATTGAAAAGCCAAAAAAAATAAACAATGCTACAGTATACTGGAATATATAATTGTATATTTTTAAAAGTTTAAAATCAACATTCTTCATTTTATTCTTCGTTAATAAAAATTACTTCAAATTTCGAGATTTCAAGTTGAATGGTGTTTTAGGTTTTGAGATAATTGTCAGACCGATTAAGTTATGATAGCTGTGTTATAAATGTCACAGAACAATTTACGGTCAAAATGGATGTCTCAAGTGCAAGTGAGTATTATCTCTTTAATATACAAACATAAATTTATAGGGCCCTTCACTGTATTTGTTTTCCATATTTTATATTTATTGTTCTTTATGTGAAATTAAAGCTTTAACAAATTCAGAATTTACTGTTTCATTCCAAATAAGTAAGAGATGGTCAAAATTTTCATTATAAGTACAGTAGTGCTAGAAAAATGCAAAGGATCATAGATTAGAGGTCGATACCCTCACCCCATGTATATTCTAGCGGTATAGATGTAAACAAATGATAAACATTAAAGATTCACTGTTAATGTTGTCCTGATATATGCGTACCTTGATTATCAGTGCTCCTATTATTTCTTATAAGTTGAAAACCTTATGGGGTTCCTGAATTGAACGCCCCCCTCCCCCAATAAAAAAAACAACTTGAAGAATCCTCACCTTATACATGCAATATTAAGAGCGTTATTTATTTCTCTAATCAAAGAGCGCGATATAATTACTGGGCCTGTGTCTATCTGAATATATTTTTTTTAATTAAAAAAAAAAAAAAAAAATATTTTAGAAATAAATAAAAAGTTTGTTTTTATTTTGCACGTCCAGTCCATGTGTTGATGATTCTTTATCTTGTTTCACCAATTCAGACGGGTAGGCAATTTTTATTTCACCATTTATTTCTTTCCAATTTATTGTCTCCAAAGATTTATTGATGTGTTACAATGTATTTTTTTTTATATTGTACTTGAAATAATGATGATAGGAATGTTAAAAATAGTTCAAACAATTAATGTTGCTGCAGCTATTGCGGAAAAATACATAGTTCATATTTTAAATTTATATCTGTAAAATTATTCATGAGAGGTAGGATTAGTTTATAAGATATTTCATACGTAAAAGATCCGCTGTTTAAATGAATGTTATTATTAATAATATGCATACTTTTAAAGGCCATAAAGGCCTATATGAGAAAAAAAAAATATAACATGTTTTTTATATTTAATTTATTCATTCGTCAGTGAACAATTTACAAATCATCTTTACGGACCAAACCTACCACATTGAAATAGGAGCGGAAGTTCGTTTAACATGTGTTGTGATTGGTGGAAACAACCCTCACGTGACATGGATATCAGTGAGTAATGTGTGGATTCCATAGCTTTTTTCAAAGCAGAACTTCGACCTCTTTATATTAAACCATATTGAAGACTAAACAAAGTACATCATTAAACTTTTCTAGATATCAAATAATTATTAATTAACCTGCATAAAAAATCATTACAAATGTAAACTTAATTTGACACAAAGGCACCGATTTCCATAACCTGGCTTAATGAAATAGCATGGGTTCTATGTAAATAATTGTCAATAGCTTACATAAATTATTATTTTTTTTGTTTGTTTGTTTATGTTTATTCATCTCCCCATTTCTTGTATAGCCGAAAGGTCAATTGCCTCCAAACACAATGACCGAGCACAACGGTCAAACTTTGATCATTTCCGGGTTTGACACGGCGGACATTGGTCAGTACATATGCGTCGCCTCAGATGGCTTACAGTTTGCTAATCACGTGTTTACCGTGGCTCTGTCGAGCACAACAACAATAAAGCATACAACCGAGGAAACATCAACATCAACAAAACATGTAACAACACCAACACAACAACTGACAACATTAACACAACAAGTGACAACACCAACACAACAAGTGACAACAAGGGTGTTTGCAACATTGCTAGAGAAAACCACAAGTGAGCGTCCGTCCACTTCATCACCACCAACAACTATGCAAACTCATACAACCAGTCAAAGTGTGGAAACAACCTTACCAAACACCCATAGTCCTGTACAATCAACTGGTAATATTATTAGTAAAAAGGATGCAATTGATCATTTATTTAGACATTTTGAAAGTTTAAGAGTAATAAATACACTATTCAATTTTCGGAATGTTGATTTTCAAAAATGTGTGCTTAGTTTTTGTGTCTTTTCCCGTACAAGAAACCTTGCTGTTTTTAATGAAATATTATTTTTCTGTGAATCCCTTTATCAGCAATATAGATGGGAAAGAAAATTAAAAGGTAATTTCAAATGAAATATGAAGTTGGAAAATACACCGATGACAAAGTTTTCCTATCAATAAATTAAAACACGGTGAAAAATATATCTACTGAGTATACTGTAAAAATAGAATAATTTTTCGTTTTGTTGTTTTCTAGGTTTGGATTGTATGATGTGTAATGACGTCATATCCCCTGCTTTCTGTACTAATTCCGTTAAATGTGGTACGCACGAGGTAGGAAATGGAATTGTAAATGACATTTATGCTTTAATTTAGAAGGAGGTATATATAAAAAGACAATGCAGAAAAAGAATGTATCAAACTGGAAATTTAAGTCCCAGAACATAGAACTAATTTTCAAGGTAGATTTTTATAGTAATCGTTGGATCCTTTGGAGAATGTCTTATTTCTAACATTATTATAAAAGAAATCACGAAAAACTAAATAAATTATTTCTTTCATAATTTTATTTACATTTTCTTTTATTTCAACAAAGAAGAAATGCTATGCTTTTACAATATACAAAATGTAAATGGATCTTTTAAAGATATGTATGCCGTGTTAAACAGTATTTTTGCACAGCTGAAACCGAACAAAAATTTCTGGAGTATGATAAGCTACCAAAAATGAAGCATTCTTGCTAATTCGACGAAATTTTATTCGGTATTAACAAAGTACTGGTCAGGAAAAGAACACGATATCCTCATGCATATTTATAAACGATTGACGTTTATCCTGGATCTGCGCATGTGCGCGGGAAAAGCATCGCGAGAATCATCAGGTCGAGGAAAATATATTTTGTGACGTCTGTTCAGTGAGGGACACAAATAGACCAATCAGCTCAATGAGTTGCATTTAATGCATTTATGTGTTACTACATAAAATACTTCATGTGTTTTTCAAAAAGGCTAGTTTTTTTTAAAAAATCAATCTCAGAAAGACTTGATGCATTACGTACATTATTATCTACTAATCCCATGCTCATATTTGCATACAAATGTTTAACAATGATGAAAAATAAAGTTTTCCCCACTCCATTGTACAGGTCCGTTTGTTTAGAGTTTCTCCGTGCTGTACTGCTAGTGGACATTTTCGGTTGGATGAACATTTACGGATCTTCAGTATGGAGCGCATTATGCGCAAAAAATATTTTATGTCAAGTACAATGTATGGAAAGTAATTTAAACTGCTATGTTTACACCCTGAATGGGATATCGTCAATTATCCCTTTTGGTTTTTTAATATGAACTACATAACATATGTAGATGAAACTTACATACCATACATCTTGCCTTCTTAGAAATATAGTTAGGCTAATAAAATAAAATTGGTCAAGGAATTCCAGGCCTCTAAAAACTATTCCAGTTTGAGGGCACAACCAAGCATTTCGATTAACACCTTTAAGAAAAATTAATTCAGGTAGGTAGCATCGGGTTTTTTTAAGTGGGTGGGGAATAGATTGATTGATTGATTGTTTAACGTCCCTCTCGAGAATTTTTTACTCATATGGAGACGCCACCATTTGCCGGTGGAGAGCTGCAAATTTTAACCTATACTCGGCACTTAGGGCCATTGAGCAGGCAGGGATCTTTTTCGTGCCAGCACCTACTGCGACACGGGGCCTCGGTTTATACGGTCTCATCCGAGGGGTGGGGGGATAGAACAGTTAGAATAAAAATCAACCAGCTCGAAGAAATCTGACAAGTAAAATAGGTTCCAATATCTTTCACTACTAAACATGACTAAATTTTATTCATTCACTACAATTTACTGCCAAACTTCAAATTTCACTTTCGAATTAGCCCGAGCCAATGCTGATAACCTATTTGCAAGATTTTTTATATTATTTTCAGGGGGTCAGAAATACTGTGGTTCATATGTAAAGAATATATTTATATTATTTAGTAGTATTCTGGTTTTGGCATTCGGTATATTGTGCAGATTTATACATGATATTCTGTGGAATATTTTTTGTTGTTTTGAACCATTAAGAAATGCAGAATCGAATGTATCTAATAACCATTTTGATTGATCAAATTATATCATTTGTTTGTATTAGTTATTTCATTTTGGCACAACATGGTTTCCACACTTCTTTATCCATAGTCGCTGACATCTGTAGAAGTTCACCCAACCGAAAATGTCCATGGAAAAGACAATTGCACGTGATTATTCCTCGGTACAAAAAGTAACCAACTCTGAGGTGCTCTCAATATTGACAATCCCTAACTCACGTGTTTGTAGTAATATCGTAGTAGACCATCATGCTTTTCGGTTCATTCACGAGACTGGACCATTGTTTGCTGTAAACATGCGAGACAACGTGATCATAAATATTACAATAAGAGGCGGGTTTTTATCCGACACGGAGAGAAAATAATTTTTACCAAATAATATTTCATAACTTTTAAAAGTGATGGAGGGGAATTGTCTTATTTGCAGAAAGTATATAACTTATATAACTTGATGAGACACCACATATATTTATTACTTTAAAATAAAACACTAATACGGCATATATAGCTTTAAATTTTGTTCTTTAAATAATGAAATGAACTAAACCTAAGACGGACACATCTAACATTTGTTTTACTGGAATATGAAGAATATCTTGATTTTGCTTTTTCATTTTTCTTAACTAACTGTTCTTGGTATAATTCTTGACTTCCCTTTAACTTCCTTCATTTAAATTAATTTCGTGATTTATTTACTTTTGCCCCTTGTAACCTTTGCACTTTCACACTTGCAAACAACTTTGTTCCGTTTTAAATTCACCCACTTATATTTTTATTAAAAGTGATCCTGTATTCTTTGAATTCGCCATGTTTCAAATACGTCCAAATGAGGGTAGGGCGAAAGGGGCGTAAAAAAACGGGGGAAATCAGTAGTTTTGCAAA